ATATATATATATATATATATATATATATATATATATATGTGCAGATAATTAATATAAATAAACATTTTGAATAACTATATTGCTCAATATTTGATCAGACTTAATACTGGATGTATTATTTATCAAATTTTTATACTGGTATTATTTCTACTATCTAAATATATATTAACAGCCTTAGCTTTTGCCTTAACAAGTACAAGGCAAAAATATAAAAAAATAGATTTGGAATATTATATAGTTCTGTATACATTAAATTTTATTGATAACAATTTATTTGAACTTTTTTCAAAAAAATAAATAATAGTGATTGAAAAAATAATCTGGATAAGAAAACTAATCATAAAACTAATATACAATTTTAAAATCATAGGTATCACTAAAATAGTAGAGCTCAAGCTTATATAAGGTTTATTTAAGATATATAACATGTATATTTAGGTATATTTAACATGTATAAATTATTGGAAATATGGTAATAAAATGTGTTTAATATATTCATAAAAAATCTATCGAAGTCAACCGATCATTAAACGTTTCCGCCCTCGTAATTGTACTTCTTTATATTTAGAAATAATTTCTTTACATTGATTTTTATTTGCATAATGTTTCTGATAAGTGTCAAATATCTTTGAAAACAAAAGAGGTATTTCTGAATGTGCACTTAGTAATGATCGTTCAAGAACGTACAAATCAACTGCTTTGTCTTCTACGCTTGATTCTATGCGAGCTAATCCAAAATCTATTAAAACAAAATTGTTCGCAGCTACAAGAAAAAATGAAAAAATAAATATTAATAAATATAATAAATATTAAAATATAATAAATATTAAAAATAAATGTTATTAAAAAAGTAATATTAACTGTAACATAATGGTATACCATTTTCATATTTTTTATTGTGATCGTCGTCAATATTTTTCAAAAGTACATTCGAAGTAGTCAAGTCTCCATGAATTATGTTTTTCAAATGTAATTTCGCAATTATTGTTCCGAGTCCTTGTGCTATAAAATTTAATAAACGATCGTCATTTGTTTCTTTCGAAACTTTTTTATCGATAAATTCTTTTAGTATTAGTGCGTCTTCTATATATTCCATATAAATACATCGTCGTTCCAAATTTGCCAAATATATGGCTGGTGTTGTGATTCCTTAAAAAAAAAAAAAAAAAAAAAAAAATGACTTATTCTTAAAAAAAAAGAACAAGAAATTAGGCTGATAAATTCATATTATTTTACTTTACCTGCGGCTTTAGCACGAATTATAGCACGACATTCAGCTTTTATACGATCTTTTGTAAGACGCTTATCTAAATCTGCATGTCTGTACTTTTTTTCAAATCTCTCTTTGATTAACGTTGGTTTTCCTAAATAAATACCTTTGTATATGCGTGCTTCGGCGCCTTGTGCTATTAATTCGAAATCATTCATATTGTTCAATATCTAAAATATATATCCTAAAATATAGATTTTGCATACATGTGTCTTTTATGCCATTTATACTATTTTTTTTTTTTTATTACATGAGTTTTTTTTTATTACTTTATTAAGTTTGAAAAAAAATAATATACAGTTGCGTTGAAATTTACTTCTAATAGTGACTGATATAATTCGGAGGATAGATTACGTTAAAGAAATTATATTTCTCGTGTGTAATAAATGCTTGAATGGCAAGTTACTATTTGTGTGAAAAGGGAAAGATAAAGTTATTCGCGCTAGCAAGGGCAAGATGAGGGCGAAATGTGAATCGATCGTTACCCGAGAGCGTCCTGCGCGCTAATCGCTATCCCAGCGCTAGTATTCGCCTGTACTTTGTTCCTATCGGATTGACAAGCTAATACTGTGATTTCTTGCCTTGTTAAAATTACAGGGAAAACGCTTTTTCATTTAACTGGCAAAAATGAGGGACGAAGTGAAGATGGACGCGAATCGGCTAATCGCCGAAGTCTATAAGCGGCCAGCGCTTTGGAATCAAAGGCATATCTCTTATCACAATCGCGAAGTGACGAACCGCGTTTGGATGGAGATTGCATCGATATTCAAGTTGCCCAGTAGGTGCATTGATGAAATCGTTTTTCAATCGTATTCGCGCGCGCATTTTTATCATTCGTTCTAACTGTCAAAATTTACTCGTTCCCAGCATGGTACAATCAATGTGAACTGTTAACATCGCTGATACAATAAAATAATTATTAAATCATCTGTTCTCATGTCTGAAAATGTTTTTTGTTATAATCATTATAAATTCAAATAACTAATTTGAACGTTTTAAGAGCGTCTAATCGATAGCACAAAGTTTTACTCGTATACAGAAAATATTTGCCATGATTATGTTACTTTTCATGATTGCCTTACTATTTCTCGAAAAATATGTATATAATTTTTTATATATAGGTGCTAATATATATATATATATATATATATATAGTATTTTAATGTACTCGCTAATACGAATCGCCTTCTAGTTAACCTCACTTTTTTACAGGCTGACGTTACCAAATATATTGTACTTTAAACCAATTTGCATGTTCACTGTTTAATATATGAATCTTACAGTCACAAAAAATTGCTATTAATAACCATCAATAACTTACAATTTATTGTTGCTTACAGTATTAGAACTCGGAAAGATTTAAATTGCAGGTACGAACTTCGTTACGTGAAGACGCATGCGTACAAGCAGTCAATAAATTTCGACTTCATTGTACTTATGAGTTACTTCCGTTATATTTATGATTTTCATCGTGCAAATTTTTATTTACTATATTTTATAAAAATCATTGCATTTATATAATTTTACATGTGTATGTGATAATTTTGTACCAAATAAACCCATAAATCCACTAATCCAACTAAATCCAACATAATCGAATTAAGTTAATGCAAAACTGATTAAAGTGTCAGAAATATAAATTATTAAATTAGAAATATGTAAGTATTTTTATAAGTGAGCCACGATAAACATTTGTTTGTTATTTTTACATTTTTCAGAACCAGTATTGAAAGCAAAGTGGAAAGGGTTACGAGATACCTTTCGGGCGGAGTTGAAGAAGGACCAAGTTTATCGGAAAAGCAAATTTCATCGAAACAGACCAGTATGGATACACTTCAAAAGTCTGCAGTTTTTGAAAGAACAAATGTTACCCCGTCCTCCTATTTGGGAACGAAGCAATTCTTGCCAAGATGACGATCGGGTGCCTAGCGAAGGTGAGAATGATGGGGCGCTGATGCAGAATGGCTCGTCGGTTACAAATAGAAACGTGGAGGATCGAAATACGATTGCAAATCATCTGTTGTCAATGAACAACGACAACGGACTAAAGATCGACGCTGTTAATCACATAGACGTAAAGCAGGAGCCCGAGGAGAATTTTGATAATCTCGAGTTTCAAAGTGTCTCCGACAATCTGACTGAAAACGAAATGATGCTGCAAAACATTTCTCCCGAGCAGGTGCTCATGGGAGACAATGACACTAATATCGGCATCCCGGTAGATCCTTTGGAAGGCAACCGTTTCGACGATAATTATTATTTTCTTATGAGCCTCCTGCCTCATATAAGAACATTGTCCGCTGACAAACGAATGTTACTTAGAATGCAAATGCAAGAACTGGTTTATAAGGAAGTTTACAAGAAAAATTCGGATAGCGTTACAGCATCGTAAAGAGAGTTATTAAAAGGAGTATTTTTAACAGAGATATACATATAAACATACACGTGTGTTTCATTGGAGTCAGCTATAAATTTACTAGAATTGTTTTACATTATATCGAGATATGAAGAGCAACTCAGGCTTTATTTATAAAAATTAATCGACTAACTAGTAAAGTCGAACACGCGACGTTAACGGGGGAAAAAGTGTAGGTTTTGTTAAACTTGAAATAAGTCAATACTCCGTAGGTTGAGAAACACTGGTGCTTTCTCGTACCTGCGGGTACGACCGTGATGTTTAGTGTGATGTATATAAGTGTAGTAAACGTATTCGTGTATTCAGGAACATTCCTGTTTCGTTGCGCATGCGTACCTGCTGCGGCTCCTCTTGGCTGATCGTCTCGTTCGTTTTCGCGTTACGTTTCGGTTGTGCTTTCGTTTAGTTTGCTCGTGATTGCCACAAGACGGTTGTGTTCATGTATCTGTCGTTTCGAATTCGATATTGTGGTTTTAACTACGTGTTTTCGCGGGCGTACCTGTCTGCACCAAGGATAGTTGCTGTGACATTTTCTTCTGTGCGTCTATTACCTGATCATGACTTAGTGTGCACAGGTGTTTACTTCAGGTGACAGCTAGAAAGGTGCATCTGCCTCGGATTTTTCATTCTCTTTTGTGTTCTACACGTTCCGCATTCAAGCGTATATAATTAACTCGTTCACTCCATCGCGACTGATTATTTCAAGCCAAAAAACTTCATCTCGTATACATCAGTGCAACGTAATTTCCCCACATTTTTGGTTTTTTTGGGGGAGGGGGGGTGGAGAATTATCGTTTAGTTCAAGGTGAGTCAACGAACGAAACAACAGTGCAAAGAACGTCTTACCATCTTCTCTCGAAAATTCTCGTCTTTTTTGAGAACATCGCGAAACGTGCATTGTGTGAAACGATTACTAACAGGAATGAAACACCGACTATTTCACGATAAATTAAATAAAATTCGATATAGTATTTTAGCTTTATTCTTAAAAACCAAAATTTGTATCGATCCTTCATAGGTTAACAAATAAATAAGTTCTGTGCAATAGTCGATCATTAAGTAACACTACGTTCAAGGTGGGCGGAATAAACGTGATATTCACATTTTCTCTTTTCATCAACTAACAAATATGATATTTTTAATAATGTTTCGTAAACATAAAACAACATTGAAGCGAGTAATTGTTAGAAACAGATTATCGTCGTAACTACAAAAAAAAGAATATTCACGTTGTTTGTTATGAAGCAGATACATATTGTCTAAATTAAGAGAGTTTGTAAAAAAAGAAAGAGCCGCGTTACTTTCATCAGAGGGTTGAACGTTGACAAAGCTAACGATACTCCTGTGTCATTATATTAAGGTTAGAGGTATCATACGCTGTTGAGCGTTAAATATATTCTTCATCTACACTTTCGAGCTTGCTCTAAATAGCGTACTGGAATCTCCTGACGATTCGAAACGCATCTACGCATTCCGTTCCGAGTGACAAGTACCTGGAAACCGAGACGCCAGTTACCTCGTGGATAATTTTCGTAACTAGTCGTAATAATGCTAATAAAGATCTTTGTATTCAAAGTGACAACCCGTGTATTCATTCCACGTATCCGACAAAAATATAAAAAAGGATAACAGATAACTGTGGAAAATCAAGCCGATTTGGATGTTCGAAAATTTAAATAACCAATTATTTAATTGTTACACAATCATTTCGTAGAGAAATGATAATAAAACATTAATTTATCTAAATGATCGATAATATGCAAGATCGAAGTAGCGAATCGTGGTAAAATATTTGTGAGATAAGAATCTGGAATCATTAAAATAATATTATGTTACCTATATCGTTTTCTTTGTCTAATACACGAACGATTTGTTCCTTAATTTTATGACTAGAATTTTGAACTTGGGAAAACAAAGACATTATTAATAACGCATTCGGTATTTAGAATAGAATTAAAAAATGTGTCTTTTGCCCAAAAAGCGTAACACATGATATTCCAAAGAATTAATGTTGTATTAGTGGAAAGATATTATAAAAAGTAAAATATTTCTAATCGCTTTTTTCAAATAGCAATATCCGACGATAACGTGATTATTCAAGTGCACTTTTACCGAATGTTCTCTTTCATGATTATCTCTTTGACTATCTCAATTAGTATGGCTTCACTTACCGTGTGGCACGTTCAACACGAGTATGAAAATCGATTGAATTCATAACATATGATTGAGTACAGGATAATCCGAGATATAGATGATCCAAGATATAGATGATCCAAGATGTAGATTATTTTGTCACGTACTTTGTACAATACATATAAATATTATCAAACGTCAACTTTCTTGAATAAATCAATTAAATTCTTTATTTAATGTATTAAACAAGCTTTATTAGCTTTATTGTATTACAAGGTTATCGAACATTTATTTAAAATGACCCTTAAAATTAGTGGTAATCGTTATCTTCTAATTTTTTAAAGTCCTTCAAAAAGATGACTCACCATGGAACGAATATAATTATATGTATTTCTTTTCACTGCCCTCAATCAGTCATTCTGTTACTGAAAATATAAAATACATTTGTTACAATTATATCTGTCTGACGTGCACATCTTTTGCAAATCACTAGATGATACAGAAAATGCTGTCTTATCTCTTAAGCAGTGTAAAACGAATGACATTTTTTTAAATTTTGCTTGAACAGGAAGATATTACTTGACCTTGAGCAATGCAAATATATAGTATATATGTGAGTAGGTATATGAGCACTTAACTTGTGAGTTGCTTGGACATTTCTTATATCTTGAGGTCTGACTCAGTGCACCGTGACTTATTGTTAGTGCGGTTGGTTCTCACGCTTTTCTCGGACTCTAAGCTGCATAACGTTCCATATTCATTAATTGTGCATTCACACAGATTACAGATATGTACTATCGCCCCGTAAATTATATGCGAGATGTTTTTACAGGTAAAAATCTCGTTTCGTTCTCCTCCGGAGGAGAAGCTTTTGCCGTTAGTCTGCCGGTCGGCAACGCGTGTTAAAAAGATACGGAGATCGTGTTACATTCCATTTCATCTTTTTATTCGCGATCTGCTTTGCTCTCTTACTGTCTTCCCGACCGTCTGACTCATTAGAACGACGTTTTTCAGTAACGACCGGTTCTACCGGCGAGGTAATCAGTGATCGAAGGAGCTCTCTGGCATCCCTCGGTTCTCGTTGGTCGTCGAGCTTTCGTTTCAATCTGGACGATAACGAAGGATGGTAAGCTCCAGTTCGCCCGGCGTAAATGTCTCACCAGCTAATAGCGTGGCTACATCACGTGTCGTCGTGTCTGACAGTGACGTAGCTCGTGATGGTGACGCCATCTTACCGAGCACCCGCCAATCATACCGCGCGGAGGACGAGGGTGGTCATGTAAACGGAGCTCCTGCTGCCGTCGAATGGAGCCAAAGCGGTCCGCCCTCGATTTCTATGTCGGTTGACCTGCATAATCTCATCAATCCGAATCTCGAAGACTCTGGACATTATTCCGCTAGTCCCGAACACGCCGATGCCTCTGCGTTACCTTGTAACGTTAAGTCTGCGAGAAATCACGAAGAAGAGGAAAGTTACGAGGCGTTTGGATCCGTCGAGGGTGACGCTGATGACGGGGTGGAATCACCAGGTGGTAGCAGTTCCGCGCCTTCACCCACTGGCAACAGTTCTCTCAAGTAAGTTCGTTGCCCCCCTCTCTCTCTCTCTCTCTCTCTTGTTCTATATACTAACTGTATATTGATCGGTTTTTTTTTTGCATAATATCAACAGTACTTGTACTGATTTGAAAAGATCGACGTAATTTTGCGCGCGAGTATTTTTAAATACTTCAGTTTCCGGACGTGACCTGTAGAGGGTACTCTGATCGTTTAGCACACGTGTACTGTTCTTTTAGGAGGATAACTAGGGTAATTAGGAAGATAATTTTCATTTTCGTTTTCAACGTAGATTCTAATAGGGAGAAGCCAGATTATCTTGAAAAGCATTGTAAAAATTATAGGGATATAATATAATAAGTGTTTTTTTTTATAATAATAATACGTATCCTGAAACTTGTTTAAAGTAACAATTTATACGTGTGAAAATATTCGATAGTATAATAATAATTCATTTTACATTGCACTTATTTCGAAATTGTTGATCGAAATCCGTTTCCACGTCGGGCAATAAAGTGATTGCTTTGCGAAATCGTACGTACACGTTGTATTTTGCATGCCGAAATTCAATACAGGCTTTCTCACATTTTATCATTCGAGTATCATTCGAGCAGATCTGCTCCTACGGTAAAATCAATGCTTTGCTAACATGTAATACGATGTGTAGAGAAAAAGACTTTCATCTTATTATCTTCTTTCCGGAAGTATTAATATTAATCCTTCGCGTTTTCTTCCGGACTGTGCCGCGTTTCTACTGCTTCCTTGTGTAAGTAGTAACACACACACACACACGTGCGCGCGTTTATAATTATATTTAAGAATATATAACATTTTATTTATTTTATTTTGTTTTATTTATATTTCTTGTATTAATTATATAATTGCAATTATATCTTTTGTAATTATTAAAATTTTAACCATTGGCAAGGGTTATTAATAATCAATGTAAAAAGAAAATTGGAATTTGATTTCGCGACTTTGATTAACTTATTAGTTATAATTGAAATTTACGTGCCTTCCAACCGTGATACAGTCCACTGATCTATAGATAATGCAGATTGTAAACATTTATGTAAATTATTAATTTAGCATTCTGATGAATACGATATTAAGCTGATTTGGGATTCTAACATAGAATATGTATGTGATATTAAGAGTCATCCATAAAATAATTGATGAAAGATTAATTAATTAATAGCAAAATTTTAATTGTTTAATGAATAAAATAAAATAATTGATGAAAGATTAATAGCAAATAAATTTTAACTGTTTAATGAATAAAATAAAATAATTGATGAAAGATTAATAGTAAAATTTTAACTGTTTAATGAATAAAATAAAGATTAATAATAAAATTTTAACTGTTTAATGAATAAAATAAAGATTAATAAAATTTTAACTGTTTAACAGTAGAATTATTCAAAACATTGCATTGCAATGTAGCGATACACTATTATTAGAATTTCTATAAGCTGTAGTCCCTCGACGTATATTCATCAAGTTTCTTTGTTCTGTTTTTTTTTTTTATTAGAAATCCAAGAAGCCCCAATTCAACCATAGGAAGGCATTCTTGGTTACGAACGTCACTTAGGCGAACTCCTCCTTGGTAAGACTTTCTCATTTTTTTCTTTCTTGCGAAAATTCCGAACATCTGAATCCGTCGGTTCGCCTCGTCCGGTATACGTACACAGATTTCAACTCGGTCAGATAGGTGTCTCGCAAGTCTTATATATAGTTGTTAAAACGCAACATTGAACATTAGAATTATTTGTCGTTTAAAAAATTTTAAAAACAAGTATATCGCTCGAACGAATACGAATTTACATTGAATTTCTTTGCTGATGTTTCTACATATCGATTTTCAAAACTCTCATTTTGCGTTCTCGAAGTTTCTCGATTCGAAAATGCCTCCTAATATGCATAAAAGATGAGGTGAATCATGCCTGTAATAATAACCGTAATAATTGGAAGAAAGCTGTGTCGAACGTGGCGGGAAAGTTACACACGCCACGGCACGGTAAAAATGAAGTTTACGCACCGCCGCTATTCACTATAATCGCCGGGTGTTTAGATTTAATTTGCCGCCGGCAAAGGAGATTCCCTTCGATCGGGAAGATGGAGCACACAATGACGAGGGAGGATTGCCGTGTGAAAAAAAAATTGCACTGTTTGTGAAACCGTCTGATAAATCACGGCTGTCTACTGGCCGATGTTAATAGACCGAGGCAGATAAGAAACTCTCTTTAATCCTCCGAGGAAAAGTATCCGCAGTTATCTGCAACTGGTTCTTGTTAAAATGTTCTTTCAGGAACATGTTTATGTAACGATCTGCACGACACGGAGGAAGTTAGTTACCAGGAACAATATTAAGATACCGTACACAATAGCTTTTTCCATTCTAGCATCCGCAATATTACGTCGTAAGAATTTCCCTAGATAATATATTCGCTTGACGAAGTCAAGTAATTAGTCGGCCTACGTAGTTCTACTCGCCGTGTTTGTAATTTGCTCACCGCGTGACACGAGACTTGTTACGAATAAAGAAGTTCTACACTGCAAACAATTTCGGACGATTTGAGTCGTTGGTTATGAGGAGGAAGTGGGGGGGGGGGGAAAGGAAAAGGAAGAGTAGAACGTTTTCCATTTCTGCGTCTGTTGTTAAGTAAGTGTCGAAGCAAGGAAGATATATACAGGATGCCTCAGGATGATACAACTGACGATGAGTAATAAGGAGGTGATCGTTCGTGAAGAAACGAGTCGAAAAGAAGGAATAAAGTTTTCTTCGTTGAAGCTTTTTCGCAGAGGAAATCGAGTTTGAAAATTTATCAGTATTATATTTCAATTTAGCTGATTCTATACACGACGAATAGAATTTTTATGATATTTAAGGTGCCTCGCTTTCGAGAAAGTCTGGCTCGAAAATTTATCCGTTTTTTCAACGAATTCTTCTATTATATTCAAAGAACTATTTTTCTTGAAAATTAGAAAAATTTTATTTTACATTTTTCATCTTAGTGTTTGCACATAGAATATCCTCGTATCGATTATTCGAACCAAATTACTAACCAAATTGAAGTATAATCGATCAATTTTCGAACTCTATTTCGAAAGTTTTAGTCTT